TTAACTAGCCCTCATAATGTATCTTAGTATAGGATGATCTCCTGGGAGAGTGGGGATGGGCTAGCAGAAAGAGCTTGACACTACCCCCTTGCAGTCCTTGATGTAGGGACAGCAAAAAGGAGGGTAGACTGGCAGAAAGAGAGAGGCCTGTTTGAGGATACTTTATTATGGAGATTCGGGGCTGCTGTACAGCTCCATAGGAAACCAGAGCCTCACAATCTAAATTAAAATGGCCCTAATTCTGCTCCACTTTATGCCAGCAATCCCTGTGGCCCCAAACTGCCTGCGTCAGAGCCTGGGGGACACTCAAATACTATAAAGACTTGTTTGCCCCTCGGCCCCCATTACGGTAAATGCTTTTTCAGGAGTTTTGACAGTAAGTACAATTTAGCAGCCAGCACAGAAGCTCCGCTGCTCTCTGGAGCAGGAAGTTTGATGAGTGCTGCCCTTACATCTCACTTTCTCTCTCTCTCTGCCCAAGGACTGGGTCGTGAACATTTTTTCAGAGCCCGGAGGAGCTGGGACTGTCAGGATGGGATGTGATCAGCTTTGTGCTGCCCATGGCATTTGGCCATGCAATTGGGAAGGGAGCAGAGAGGTGGGCCATTTCTTTCTATATGCAGAACAAAAATGGGCAGTGACATGGGACAGGGGTAGCTGTCGATATGAAAGGAAGCCCGGCAGCTGGCTAGACAAGTGAATAACCAGGCCCCAGACTTGGTGAGCTTTTGCAAGAGCAGGCTAAGACTCAGAAATAAACTGATCCCCAAAACCAGGGGTTAAATCCTTCCCTGGACCCACCCTCTTGATTTGGAAACAGGGAAAAAAATCCTCCCCTGGGGCAAGGTAGCAAACTGTGAAAATGAAAATCCAGGGCTGCTTTTGGGTACCACGACTGGGGACTTCTAAAACGATGCAGTATGAATAATAAAAGGGAAAGGAAATATGCATTGATGTTGCTCCTGATGCAACAGGTGCTGATAAGGGGGCAAAAGACTCTGTCCAGTCATTTCATATCTGGTGTATTTAGTGTAGAGTCTGTCGATCCTGGATAGGCCTCATCAGCCATCTACAGATACAGAGACAGGGCAATCATGGAAGATAATCATCCTCGACTGCGAGGGATTGCCAAAGAGAAAGAAGATAGAGTCTGATGTATTCCCACACGAGCATCAGTAGCAATCACTCTCAGCAAACGAAAAGCTCTAACGGCGTCTTCACTTGTACTTTCACTCCAAATGTGTTTTCCTGGGACAGATTTTTCAAGTGGAATGAAAGCTCAGGGCCAGGAATACCATGGCAAGAGTTTCGCCGTGCACCAAGATGTCTTCAGCAAAAGCATTAAAGCTAAAAGCTGCACAACACGATGCTTTGACTGACGCAATGAAAGAAGGAGACAAGGCAGTTCTGTGTTTCTAGGATGGCACAATGCGGGGGGGAATGCAGACTCCCAGGAAAACGGGTCCCCAAAATACTTTATTCTCACAAGAGGCAAGGCGACTCTTTCAAACTGTTACATTCAGATCTGGTACACATAGGAGCTGATCCACTGGAGCCAGTAGAGATGTATCCACTTCACTCGATCTCTTGTTTTTCCTTTTTGGAGAGGTTTCATGAAAACTTTATTAGAACTCATGGATAGTTTTCTTTCTGCTAAGTCCTTTTTCTCATAAACTTAGCCCAACAACGCCTCAGAGCAGCTCCTTCCAGCTGACGCTCAGAACACGCCTCATCATTTGGCTTGTTGCAAAGGGATGATTGAAAAGAAGCTGAAGCTACAGGAGTCCTGGCAGAGCCGCACGGTAAGTAACACTCCTTGCAATATTCTGCTCCCAGGCTCCAGTTACTGCTCCATGGCAGGAGCAGCAGAAATAACATGTCATGGATCAAATCAAGAATCCAGAGCCACCCACCCCACACATGCCTGAGTTGCAACAAAACCCAGCGATCCTGGATTGGCCTCATCAGCCATCTTTGGACCCACAGATAAGGCAACCATGAAAGACAATCATCCTCAACTGAGAGGGACTGCCGATGAGGGTGTCTAACTTAAGTCACAGGAAGTGGGGAACAATTACTAGAATGGAAATGATCACAGCCAGCAAAAATATGCCTGGTCCTATATACCCAGATCTGTTGGTCAAGGTAAAGAATAAGGAAGGATGGCACAAGCGGCACTGGACTCATCCAAACATTGCTGCTTATGATAGAAGTAATAACGTAGAAGAGTGGTTTTCAACCTTCTTTCATTTGCAGGCCCCTAAAAAAATTTTAATAGAGATGTGAACCCCTTTGGAAATTTCGAATCGAGTTGTGGACCCCTATGAATGGGAAGCGTGGGTATTCACATACTTTCGATTGATCATAGTCATCTTTTGCAGACCTTTTAGATATAGTCTACTGCCCCGCAGGGGTCGGCAGACCACAGATTGAAAACCTCTGACCTAGATATCACAAACATTCATCACTGGGCCAACTCTGGTTCCCCCCTGTCTGTAGGTGTGTTGTTATGCATGGCAGTGGGCACAAAATGACATACATCAATGCTGAGTGTTTGAAAAATCCCACCAAAGGTCCTTCCGCATCTTTCAATAGATTTCAGTGCTGGGGGCAGTATCTGGCTGCTGAATAACAAAGAGGCAGAGGAACTGTAAAGGGCCCCAAGGGAACAGAACTAGGCATAATGAGCTGCAATGAAGCACAGACAACTTGAAGATGAATTTCAGGCAGGACTTGCAGGCAGTAATATCCACCGACTCATTTAACTAGTCCCCTAGGGAAGGAGCCGGAGCCCCAATACACACGGCATTTTAAATTAGACGGGACAGCCCCTAAGACAGTAGTCTTTATGGTGGGATTGTCTACCGAACCTACGGGAGTTTGGCACTGCTGTCCCAAGTCGGTGTCTGTTTGGGGCCAGTCCCATGTTGACAGACAAAGGGGGATAGTTATCTATCTTAGGCACTTAATATGGTTCCTCTTTTAGGGGATCAGACTGCCTCTCACTATTTAGCATCTATGCTTATCATACCCCCATGTGATGCAACAGTACACTATACCCGCAGTGCTCAACCTCCGGCCTGCAGGCCAGATCCAGCCCACAAGGTCACGTCATCTGGCCTGTGGGGCTCTCCACAAGTCCAGATATATGGCAATGGGGAAGTGACCACAGCATTAACTGCCTGCTGCCAAATTTCGAGACCCGTGGGGAACCCCCCAGGCCAGAGGACATGGCCCAACTGTGCTGTGCTGGCCCTTCCAGTCCATGGGCTTGGAGGGCCGAGCACCATGGCACTATACAGACATGGACCCAATGCACAAGGAAAGGTCACACTGGGGCCCTGTGGCAGAGGGCTGATTTGAATTTTCTTTCCCACACCCAAGTCCAGCAACGTGACAACTGGGCTGTTCTCCTCCCTCCCTATCCTGTGTGACCTGCTAATCCTTTCCCCTCCTTTAACTTTTATGAAGCTCTGCAGGTGTCACATGAGCAGATTTCAGTTTCTAGATCTATTAAAGAGTCACTGATCGGGGACAGCCTGGTCAGCAGCTCTGCAAGCTGATCCAAGGGTGAGGAGGACTGACATGGGGTGACCCCATTCAGCCCCCCTGCACTGAGGCTGGGATAGATTTCCAGGGTTCATTTAGTTAATTGTTTCTCCCCTCCTGCAATAATTGCTGACCAGCTGTTCCCCAGCTTCCCTTCTTAGCTTGCTCCATTACACAACCACTCGAGTCTTACTGCCGTGTTGCTTAATTCCTTCCGTGCTTTGGCCTCAAACCATTTTTGGTTTGTTTTTCTCCTCCCTCTTCTTGCTGCATCCTGCAGCTACCACAGGCAGCTACAATGGCTCCTCTCAGCCATTTTTGCATAAGGTTGAACACAGATTTCAGCGAGTACAGCTTCACAGATTTTAAGGCTGGAAAGGTCTATGGGGATGATCTAGTCTTGCTGCATCACCCAGGCCACAAGGCTTCTTTGAATTAACTCTTGCATCAGGTGCAATAGTTATGCTTGAACAAAGCCAAACAGCCAGTGATGGGAAAATCTACCATAAGTTTTAGTAATGGCTAATTGCTGTCCCAGTTAAGTGTAAACACTTCTAGATTTTGATCAACTTGCCTCTTAACCCACTCTTTGAAAACCTAATGCCTCATCTTCTGCCTCTTAATCAGTCCTATAGCTCTTCTGTGAATTCCCTCCAGTTTTTCCCGGGTTGTTGGTTGCAGCTCCAGTTTTTTTAAAACACTCATCTTAAAGCTGTGGATGTGGACTTTCTCAGCAAGATGTAACAGGAGTCCCATTACCTTGCACAACACTGAACTTAGCATCCTGCATGCTTTCTCAAGACACTTTGCAACTGCTTTTCTAAGTCTGTCATTCTGCAGATATTATGAACAAGGCCATTCTTGGCTGGCAAACTGCAGAGTATTTCAAAATATTTAATACTGAAATTGTGCTAGGTGGTGTCAAGACAGAAATGACTTACATCTTGTGTAGACTTGTAGGCTATGGGCAGGTGCATCTGTTAACTGCTTTAAGAAGAAGCGGGGAACACAAAAACATTAGATTGCTATGAATGAAACAGGGTTAAAGTTGCATTGGCTTTGCTACACTTGAATTGCTAAAGGAGCACGTAGACCTAACAGTTATCTTCCCAAGGAGCAAAACTCTGGGGGATGTGATACATTCCCCATATTTGTCTTTCTTTTACATAAGCCAAACAATTATTTATGCACGTAGCCTTTATAAGAAACATACTTAATGTGGTCAGCCTCCAAGTCAAACTGAGATTTGCAAAAGCAATTCCTTGGTACTGAGAGTAAGTTTGCAACTGCAGATGACTAACATGAGAGAGAGAGCACGCATAGGCCTGCTGTGTTGGGGGGCAAAGTGGAGGAGTCAAACCTGACTGTTTTGCAGCAGAAGAAATCAAGCTGCACTTTATCTTACTACAAAGCCTACAGTGGTTTGATTAGCAAAATAAATTAACACTTACCTATTTACCAAAAACAACTGCTTTTGAATCCTCTGCAGTCTAGAGCTTGCAAGGTTTATTCTCTCACTCAATATTAAATCACGCTGTATTGCAGCAGCAACAGCTGCTGCTAAATTTGCCAGGCTCTGGAAGTTGCTACACAGCCTAATCTGATCTAGCTAGAAAATTAACTCATTTGCTTTTTTGGCAATGATAACTGCCCTTGAACTGTCTATCTGCAGGTGAAGGCCCCAGCCCTAGACTTTCCCCATTCACATTACTCAACACATCTACTCAGAGCCTGTATACACCATACATTCAAACAGAGGGTCAGCCTCAGACATGCCCGAGTATCAATCAGGCCCGTTCCTCCTCTCAGATGACAGGCAGCCCATCTGAGTTGCTGTATCCAGTCCCTCTCCTCTTGCTTTCTGCCTTCCCTTGGCCTTCTCACCTGTTTTCCATGTTGCCTCCAAGGTAGCTCTTTGCTCTATTTGATTACAAAGCCTCTGCCTTCGCTACCATCTGACAGAGCTCATTTCCACTATGCCCCAAGTTACTTGCTTCATCTCCAGTGCCCCTTGTTGTCTATCTGTTGGGCAGAAATTTTAAATACTTCTACCTGCTTCTTCCCCATATTTATAGGAGACAGGGCTTTCTCCAAGCCTTGCACAAGCTTACCTTTGCTGAAAATGTCTATGCCTTTATTCCCTGTTACTTTCACACTCAAAGAATCAGAGAAAATTGGCCTAGAATGGATTTTGAGGGGTCTAGTCCACTCCCCTGCCCCAAGATGGGATCGGCTATGCCCAAGCCATTCCTGACAGCCATTTGTCTAATCTACTCTTAAATACCTCCGATGGTAGAGGTTGCAGAACCGTCCTAAACAAACTGTTCTGGTGTTATACCCTCCTTATAGTTGGACAAGTTTTTTTCCTGATATGAATCTCCCTGTTAAAACTTAATCTCAACACTTCTGGCCCTGTTCCCTGCCAACATGGGGAACAGTTTCAGATCGTCCTCACTGCGGGAACTTTTTACGTACTGAAGACGGTGCCCACATCTCCTCAGTCTTCTTTTCCCTAAACACTTTTTCCATCACAGCTGGCAAGCCCTCATCCTGGGAGGTCCCCATGTGCATCTTGTCAGCCAAGTCATCAGATTCCCACATGCTTCTCCACCTAACCGGCTCCTCTTGCATCTCTCCCACCAGCTTCCTGAAACAATTACACCAGCAGGCAGCTCTCACACCACGTGGTTTCCCCAGCCTGGCTTGACAGGACCACGAAGGTGGTTTTCTGTGCAAATCAAGGCCAGGACCCGGGTGGAGGAATCCAGGGTCAGGATCCTTATCTGGCCATGAGTCCATGGGGCAGGTGGAGGACAAGACAACAGCAGAATTAACCTGGGTGATGTGGCCTTTCCCAAGCCTTCTGGTACCGCCTATTTTCCTTAACATCCCTCTCAAAAGTCCCCTCTTCGCTGGTCTCTGGGCAGTAACTAGCTGGCTTTGCAATAGTTTTCCCTAAGTCAGCCCTGTCCCTATGATAAGACACAACAGTGACCAAAAGCAGTACTTAAGGATCAAAACCCCCACTGCTCACTTATCTCACTCTGAGAATCCAACCAAACCCACCGATTTCCGTCACTCGTCTCCACAAACTAGAGACTCGCTCCTCCTTTATCAGACATCCGCTCTCAATTCTACAGACTACGCCTGGTTAGCTCTCCTTGGTGGGTGACCCACTGACCCCACTTAAGGTACTGATTATAATTGCACTGTGATCAGTGCCAATTTTGCCACTGGCTTTAAAGGAGACGAGATTAAAAAAAAAAAAAAAAGATCAAACAGGTTTCTTTCGCTAATGAGAATCTGTTTTCATTTGTAGTGCTGCAGTCTGAAAAACTACAGAGTCCATTGTATAGCGGGCAGATCCACGGATCTTATCCAATCCCAACTGAAGCCGATAGAAACACTCGCACTGACTTCAAAAGGGCTTTGATCATGACATTTGTACTGGGAACCACACTGAACCCAGAAGAAGGGCATGTGAAAGATGTCCAGAATCCTGCCCAGTGTATAGCTGATGACGAAGGAGCAAATAATTATCCAGGATCAGGTAAGGGGTGGGGAAAGTTAAAGCCTTGTCTGCATGTATCACAGCAGTAATGACCCACTGATGGAGCATTTTAATGACAGCTTCATCTTGTAGGTGCTAAACTAGATCTTCAGCTCAGGGAAACTGGCACAGCTGTAGTGCACCAGAGGGGAGGATGCATCCTTCCATTGTTAAACGTTGCACCCAGAGCTCGCTGCTTGTTGATGGCAAAAACAGTTCCCCATGAATGAGATTGGACACTGCCTTTTCTGCAGCATCTCCTACCTGAGGATCTCAAGGAGCATTACAAACTCTAGCAAGTGAGGTGTTCTACCACCCCATCCCAGATTTACATGGAGCCAAGAGAGGTCGTGGCAGAGCTAAGATGAGATCCCAATATCCTGATGTCTTAGCAGCACTTTTACCACTGGACAACCCTCATCTCCATGGGCTTGCCTGGCACTTGTTGAGTCTCATTTTACTACCGCCCACCCCTCTCCTCTACTCTTTCATGATCTATTTCTCACTCCACTCTGATTTCACTGAGGTGTGCTATGCTATCCCTCTTGGCTCGGTATCAACAGGGAATCTGATCATTGTGCCCCTTGGTCACTTATACATACACTCAGTAATAGCACTAGACCCACACTGACCCTGGTGGGGATCCACTCCACACCTCTTCTCTTCCCAACTTGACACCAAACCATTAATAATTTCTGTCTTCTGCCAACCGCATCACCACCGCTGAGGTTCTCATGATCCTAACCACGTCACTCCGGCTCCTGCATAGGAATATCACATGGAGCTGCCTTGCTGAAATCAAGCTGTACTTTGCCAGTAATATAAAACCCTCCTTTGCCATCACATCCTGCCACCACAGCACACGTCTACCCTTGCTCTTACACCTGCTCTGTGAAAAACTGACCCAGGAAAGATTTGCCTAGTCTCAAATTGGAAGATCCATCCCAGAACCTGTACACACTGCCTGTCTGACTTGAACGACTCATAGGCCTCCTGCATGGTCACTTCTGGTTGGTGTGGAGGATGCAGGCACACAGCACAGGTTGCATTTGACCTCAGGTAACAGAACATGCTCACATACCTCCCAGGCTATGATTTGAAACATTGCATAAATGGAGATTAGGCACAAAGAATTTCCATGGGTAGCACTCTTAACGCATAGGTGTTAGTCCTGACTGATGGAAATAGAGAAAGGGGCACCAATGGATAGAGAAAAGTAAGGAGGAAGAAAGGGAAAGGGAAAGGCAGCAGGGATGAGGTAGGAGGATGGGGAAAGTGTACAATGGGAGAAGTTTCAGTGCTCTCTTTCAGGCTGCTCATGACAATTGAGCCTCTGAGCTTGCTGATATTGTAAATCTGCAGTGCTGTGATGGATCAAAGCGCTGATCACGGGAGCAGCCAGACCAAATTAGATCAGACCAAGCATCCATCAAGCTCCTATCCTGACTCTGACCATGACCTGAACCTCTGTTTAAGGAAGCTGCAAGAAACCCCTTCCTGGCTAAAACCCCTCAAAGCCTGCTGCATATTAGCATTCATCACGCGGTGGGATGCTAATCTAGAGGAAAGGGGCTGGTGGTTAGAAGTGGGACAAGGGAACTGCGTCTCTTGGATTCTCTGTTTCCAGCTCTGCCTCTGACACCGAGGCCATTCCCAAACACAGCAGAGGAAGGGGATTGCAGATGTCCCTGCACATGCCTGCTTCCAAGCCTCTAGTGCTGCAGTCTGAAGAGTTTGCGTCTCAGTGTCAATAATTCAGAGTCGCAAACAGCGTGATAACAGCACGCTCATGAAGGCGGCTGTGACATGCCTCGTAATGAGGGGCAGCTGAGAGTTATGCGTCCCAGATGTCACTGCGCAGTGGCGTGCTTTTGAATTGACAATAATTGGGCTGCTGAGTGATGGCTGTGACATGGAAAAGGTGCCTGCTCTTGAAGACAAAGACAAAAATTCTCCATGGACTTCAATAGCAGCAGAATCAGGCCCCATCTCTTTCTGGCAGCCTAGGTGATTTCCAGGCAAACAAAGACATATACCCATTAAAAAATGTGAAGAGCCTGACTCATCAATATTTTACTAAGTGGCATTTTAACCTCTGTGGCATTCAAGGGCTCCTCCTCCTCTGCTGCAACTGATTTCAATTCAGAAAGCCGAGGAGCTGGACCTTGTTAGTTCTTAGCTATAGTGCAGGGGCTCAGCCCTTCTGAAAAGTCAAGCTCAAAGGGTCTCCAAATAAGCATTCAAATACTGAGGCAGTGGTCTCAAAAATCTGTCTATTATTTGCATTATGGTGATGCCCTAGGGCCCCAATATGGGCCAGTGCTCCGTTGTGCTCAGCCCTGGACAGACCGATAGAAAAAGAGATTCTGTGCCCTGAAGAGTCTAAAATCTAACTCTTCAAGAAAAACAAGGATGTATAATCATGCTCCTTGTTTAAATCACATGCTATCAGCAGAGCTCAAAGCACTTTACAAGAAGGTCAGTATCCTTTCCCCCTGTTTATACATGGGGGGAAACTGAGGCACAAAGAGGGAAAGGCACCTACCCAGGGCTCCACAGCAGCCTGATGACAGAGCCACATCTCCTGACCTCCTGTCCAGTGCTCCATCCACTGGATAATGCTGCCTCCCTCACTTAAGCTACTAAAACAAAGAGAGACAAAAGACCTGATCTGAAGCTTGCTGCGGCCTATAGGAATCTGAGGGTATCAGATCCAAGCCTAAATCATTTGCTTCAACTCACACAGGACACACTTGGTAAAGTCACGAGTGGGACCAATAGCTCCTGAAAGCAAGTGCATGAATGTTCCTCTTTGGGCACGTCTACACATGAATTTAAGTGACTATATTTAATGTGCATTAAGCGATTTTTGATAGGCGTCTATACATGCAGGGACTTGGCACTAAAGTTAGTCCCAAGCTCCTGGAGTTGGCCCTGAAGTTTGTCCCAAGTCCCTGCAGCCTTGCCACGTGCCCCTGTGGCCACCAGGAGAGCTCTAGCTGCCAGCACTTGGCAGCCATGTTGAAGCCAGAGCCAGCTGCCAGCACCTGGCAATCATCTGGGAACCTCTGATCCCTGGCTAGCCCCTTCCCTGTCCAGAAGTCATG